TGGGAACTATTTGAAAGCTTCATATCCAGAGCAAAATAATTTTGTCAAACCAGAGATTCGACAGATGCTGCTAGTGCTGCGGAGCCTCATACGTTTCACTTCCTCTAAGTGATTTTGACCTTTCAAAGCTTCCCAAGGTCAGTCACAGTACCATAAGTAATGGGATAAACCTTATCAAGATACACCCATTCAGCCTGCTTCATAAACAGTGTTCCAAAGCATGATCACACACACACTCACGCACACACACATGCTCACACAAAGTAATTCTGGGAAATAAATAGCTTAATAACCACCATGAATTAGCTTGTTACTTAAAAACTTGTAGAACAATATCCTTAAAGAGGGAATTCAGTGAAACACCTTCTGGGCTTTTTGTTTTTTTTATTTGGGTTATTAAGATCCTTGCAGTACTACATAAAAATATATGTTTTCACCCATCCTGTTTGTGCTGTGGACAGGCATTTCCATACAAACAAAAAAAATCATATAGACTCCTCAAATATGGACAGTGTATAAAGGTTTTTGCTGATATGATTTAAAAGAGAAATATATGCACAATGGAAGGTGACATCAAGACTACACATGACATTTAATGAGTTAATTGGCATCACTGAAGTTTATGAATGTGTATATCTTAAAAGTTATATCATACATGTGTACACTGGTCAGGATGAAGGGAGAAAACACAATGCTTAAACTATTATACTTGGTGTATTATGAGAATAAATACAAAGCATGCCTGATGAACTGACCTGGGAAGTGTCCACAGATTTCTTTTTATATGTACTGAAATTTCAGCAGGCATTTATGAGTTTCTCTATACATGTGGCAAAGGAGGCAGCAGTGAATATCTGAATATAAAGGTTTGTCTGCTCCGATGCATACTTTTTTCCCCGAGTTATATGTGCCAAATACATGGTACTTTCTGGCAAGGTGTTTTTTTTTTTGTTTTTTTGTATTGGCAAATACTGCATCTCTGCTTTCTTTATTTGTTTTCTTGTAAGATTTTCATCGGCACTAACCTAGCCTATCCAAGTACCAAATCAACCTTCTGCCTAGGAAAGCATTCTTCCTAATCAGTATGATCATGTTTCCTTGCTTATGAAGTGTTTACATAAAAATACTTATTCTATTGTACAAAATAAAAATGGACTTCCCATTACAAACATTCATATGAATCATTTTTCCATAAGATGAGAAACAAATGGCTTTCTCTTTTTTAACTATATACTTAAATATTATTTTAACCTTAAACTATTAGCTTTTCACATTCCAAAACCATTAAGTACATGCCATCACCCAGATTTCTTGGGGTGAAAATCAACATTATATTCTGGTTTTCAATATCACTGGTTTTCAATAATTAAATAATTTCACAGATTCTTATAAGTCATAACTGACTTGCAGGTACCAAATTCAAGATATATCAGTATATACAATTAGTATATGCACTGAAAAATACATCCATCCAAATTACAAGCCATTTTTATCAAGCAGACATTAAAGAGAAAAAAAAATGTACATATAACAACAGGCTCCACTCATAGAAATACAGGTGTATTATACTACTATAGAATACATGGCATCTTTTGCACTTCTAATACTATGGCAAATAATGTAGAGGGTCTCTCTCACAATCTATATTAGATATGATGGTTAAATATTTTTTGTACTTTACTTTTTTGTGACTAGCCCTCATATGCTAATAATAATAATAATAAATTACAAGCTACTATCAACCCTAAAGTTTTCCCTTCTCTTAATACCTTTATGCATAAATATAATGTAACATGTTAGCCTCTTCATACACCAGGTGCATAAAGAAAAAATATTCAGCATATATGCCTGAAGTAGTTTAAAACTACGATGTGTCTATTACAATACTACACACTTCTACAAACATAATTCACTACTAAGGAAACTCAAAACCTTCCCTTCATGATATTAAAAACACTTCAATATAATGTACTTCAAAATAAAACATATAACAAACATAGGATTTGTATATAAAAGAATACTTGATACCAAATGCTTCCCTTTGTGTTACCTACAACTAAATACATATCTCATTTATTATTTTAGCATCTACAAAAATTAGGCTATACAGAAATGTTAACTGAACCTTCACCACTGTACGTCTACACTTAAACCAAACATGATAGTAATAGTACTAATAAACAGTACCACACTTAGACATCCTCATCTAACAACTTCACATAATTCCTTTGTCAGGAACAGTCCAGCAAGTATTTCAAGGGGCAAAAAATAAGCTGTTATATATCTATATGCCAAATGAAATAAAATATACATTTCTGTACACATTCTACCACAAGAAGCAAATCATTCAGCAAAAAAGAATAATAATATTAGTTCTACTAGAACGGAAAAGTTAATGACATTACTTATGCCACACTTCTCATTACCTTAGTAATGGATTTGAAAGAAACTGAGTGTCCTGTTTTACCTTTAATCAGTATTACTGATCATATTTACCTTC